CCCCCCCCCGTCCCTTCCAGCCCCTCCCTCCGACCCCCCCTCCTGATACTTCTTCACCTCGTTCTCGTCCAGCGAGTCGTCCTCGAAATCTTTGTGTACAATGCACCACGCCTTGATCAGCTCGCACACTATCCGCTTGGCCTGGTTGTTGTCCAGGTTGGTCATCTTCTCCAGCCTCGAGGTGGCATGAGGGGGGAGAGGCCGTTTCCCGACGGAGGCTCCGCGTCATCGAATCCGAAAGGCTGTCCTGCGAGCTTCGCCGAGGTTCCGCCGATTTGGTCGGCCGATCACCCCAGACACGGGAGGGGACAGGAGGGGAGGGGAGGGGGCGGAGGAGGGGGGACAGGTCGGCGGTGGACAAACCTCCCTTCAGTAAATCACCCCTTAGTGAAAACAGCCTAGGGCCGACACCGACGGACCTGGACCCGCGCGAATGACGGCCGCGACGCCATCTCGCGAACCGAACGCGGCCAATCCACGAATCGACGTGCCAGGGTAGGAGGTCTATCAACCTCCGACAGGAGGGGGCGTGGACCCGTCGTCCACAGGGGGAACAAAGTGACATAAACATGAACACTCGAGGTCCTTCGCGGATTTCTCGATCGGCGCTGGACCCCTCTCCCTGGACGCGGACGCGCCAGGGGCGCGCCGAGGCGCTGCCGGGTTGGGGGGGCCCCACGCGATCCCGAGAATCCGCGCGGACCTTCCGAGTTTTCATGTTTATGCTCCTTTTGGGGGTTCCCCTAGATGGGGCGAGGAGGGGGGGACAGGAGGGGGGAAGGCGCGAGGAGGTGTGCGGAGGCTGGAGAAGGAGGAGGAGCGGAGGAGGAGGGATGAGGATGAGGGATGAGGATGATTGATGGAAAAAAGGGAGGAGGAGGAGGAGGAGTAGGAGGAGGAGGAGAGGAGAGAGGAGGAGGAGGAGGAGGTGGGCGGAGGCTGGAGATGGAGGAGGTCAGACGACACCGGGGCGATCGCTCGACCCTGTCCGCACCACGGAGCCACCGAGGAGGAGGAGGAGGCGTGAGGAGGAGGAGGAGGAGGAGGAGCAGGAGGAGGAGGCGTGAGGAGGAGGAGTCGGAGGAGGAGGAGGCGTGAGGAGGAGTCGGAGGAGGAGGAGGAGGAGGAGGAGTCGGAGGAGGAGGAGGAGTCGGAGGAGTCGGAGGAGTCGGAGGAGTCGGAGGAGGAGGAAGGGAACGAGAGCGGGGGAAACGCACACACAGCACACAACTAGGCCGCGACCCTCTAGACCTCTTCCTGGGTGCGCCCTGCCCAGGATCTCGAGGCGCCTCCGGCCACGGAGGCCAGAGCATGCGACAGGGAAGGAGGTGTGGCCGTACCGGTATCTGTCACTCCGTCTCCCGAACAGCGGGGAACCAGGAGGGGGCAGAAGAGCGATAGGGGGGGGGGCCAGGGACATGCAGGGAGAGGAAGAGGGAGAGGACTGAGGGACATGCAGGGAGAGGGAGAGGACTGAGGGAGAGGGAGATGACTGAGAGGACTGAGGACTGAGGGAAGACGGGTGGGTGAGGGAGCCCGCGCCCTCCGGCCTAGACACGGGCTGGTCGTGCTTCTTCTTGACCTGGTAGTCCACGACCTTGTGGAAGATGCACGCCAGGGCCGAGGTGCTGTTCTTGAACTGCGGAGTGCTGTCCAGATTCGTGACCACGGACTTGAAGGGAAGCGTAATAGGGCAACAGCACACAAATTGGCTGGCATTGATCCCAAACGCTGATTCCTTGCAGTCTATGCGGTGCAATCTAGGTGGTGCAGTCAATGTGGTGCAGTCCAGGTGGTGCAATCCATGGAAAGCAATCTATCTGGTGCAAAGCAAGGCAACACAATGCAAAGCAATGCACTACCAAGCAGTGTCAAGGACCACCACGCAATACAAAGCAATGAAACACAACGCAGAGCAGTGCAGAGCGGTGCAACACCGTGCAAAAAGCAACGCGCTGCAGTGCAGACCGACGCCACGCAACGCAGCGCGCAATTCGAGGCAATCCAGCGCAGCGCAGGGCAACAGAAAGGACAGCAGTGCAGGGCAGCGCAGTGCAACCGCCGAGCGGTGGAGCGCAGTCGGTGGCGACGGGGGCGGCGACGGGCGGCGACGTGCGGCCGCGTGCCGCCCGGGACCGCCCCTCGGGCTCGGCCACCCTGGAAGACAAGTAAGGACCACTGAGTGCAAGCACCGGTTGGGGGAGGAGGAGGGAGGAGGAGGGAGGAGGAGGAGGAGGAGGAGGAGGAGGAGGAGGAGGAGGAGGAGGAGGAGGAGGAGGAGGAGGAGGAATGCATACAACAGGGCGTTCTGCACGAATGCCTCCTTGCTTCAGGCCTGCTGTCGCCTCGCCGGGGGAGGGCGCGGCATCCTCGGTAATTGCGGCTGGGGGGGGCGCAACGAGGGAAGGGGCGCAGCCCCCGACGGCCCGAGGCAGGCCGAGCCGACGCATGCCCAGATCCGAACCGATCTCCCGATTCGATGCTGACTGATGCTGCCTTTGGCGGCGTGCACACTAAAACAAGGCTAGGATCGGGAGAAATCACTCCAGAGCGTTCCGGAGCGCTCTCAGAGCGCTCCGGAGCGCTCTGGAGCGGCCGCGGCGCCCAATACATCCTCCAAACCCGCCGATTCTGAGAGATTTCGAGTTATCCCGATCCGATTTTGTCCCGATCTTCGCGCCGTTTTACACACTGGCGTGGTGGGCGTAGAGGATCAAACAAAAACGGCACGAACACTGGTTCGCGGAACCCTGCGTGCGCCGGCCCAGCGCCGATCCCAAGCATCCGCGGGGACCTCCGAGGCATTACGCTGATGCCGGGCTCGTTCTTCGAGAGAGGGGGGCAGCCTTCGGAAGAGGGCAGAGGGGGTCTCTTAGAAGACGCTGATGTCACGGCGTCCGAGCGTCGCTTCTCCCCATCGCCTTGGCGAGCTCCTCGACCTTGCCGTGGAAGTCGCGGGGCAATCTCTTGAGCACCTCGTTGGACCGCGTCAGCGCCTCGCCCAGGTGCTCGTGGGCCAGCCTGGGAGAGAGGGGGGGGGGCACGTGCGGGGGGAGGAAGGGCACGGGGACGACGGGGAGGAGAGGGCGGGGCCACTCATCCTCGAATCGGGGCATCGGATCGCATCGAAGCGTGCGTCAGGTCCGGCCACGTCGGTACGGAATCGAGGTCGGTCGAAGCGGATCGGCCGCTCCTAAATGCACAGCAGCGCCGTGCGAACGTCGGCCCGTGTCGGATCGCCTGGAGGTCGACATCGAATCGGACCGCGCCAGGCGAGCTCGACGTCGACCGGGGCCGATCGAATCGACGTGGGCCTTGCGAAAGGCAGGCGCGGGGGGGCGGGAGGCAGGGACGCTTTTCGACTTCCTCGAGAATTGAACGAACATGATTTTCCCCACATCCGAAGTGGGGTTCTTGTTTTCTCCGGACACCCCGCGCAGTACTTCTCCTCCTCCCCCTCTCCTCTCCTCCCTTCGTGCAATCACCCACTGAATCACTCACACACAATCCCCATCATAACAGCACCAACCTCCTCATCATCACCATCATCGTCATTACTCATCACGCACACCACCATCATCATCAGTCGCACACTCACCACACGCGATCAATCTCTCACATCTCGCTAACTATCACCATCTCGCCATCACCATCATCGCTTTCACATGGTCATCCTCAAACGTATCATCATCAGCAACAGCAGCAATATCAACATCATCATCATCACCACCATTATTATCATCATCGCCAGCATCATCAGCATCATCATCACCATCATTATCACAATCGCACGCACGCGCACGTTCGTGTTGATGAAATCATGTGCGGGAGCCTCGTTCGTTGGTGAAGCGCAAGGAAGTATCAGGCGGGAACCCCTCCCTACGGGGCCCAAGAACGAAATTACGAATCCGAACGGGTCATTTGAATCCTGCAACTGTCGTGACTCTGGGGCCCCTGAGCTTTGAATCCGGAGGAATTCTCGTGCGGGAGTCTCGCCACTTGGTGACGTGCGAGGAAGTCTCAGGCTGGAGCCCCTTCCCTATGAAACCCGCAGATCATGTCGCAGATCGTCCGAATCCTGTGACTGCCGTCACTCTCGGGCCCCGGAGCCGCCTCCGAGTTTATAGCTGTCGTCTCTCTCGGGCCCGTGATCTTTGAATCTGGAGGAAGTCTCGTGCGGGAGCCCCGTCCGTCGGTGACATGCGAAGACGTCTCAGGCGGGAGCTCCCCCCCTGTAGGGCCCGCCGGTCATGTTTCTAACACGAGCGGGTCATCCGAATCTTGTAACTGTCGTCACCTTCGGGCATGCGCAACGGCGAAAAAAAGGATGACGCAGAGGAGACAGTAAGGGCACCCAACCGATCACGAGGACGACGATGAGGGTTATTTCCAGCTTAGCCGAAAGAAACCTCATGTGGGGTCCTACCGTCCGATTGAGTGCACGTGTATACATATTTCACTCCTCCCTCCTATCCAGCACCAGACTTCTATTGCTATCTGCTCGAACCCCTGCCTCTTTCGCACGCTCCTGCTCAAGAAGCGTTCGACGGCATGGCGAGGCGGGTCACGCAGCAGCGTTACAATTCGCTGTGCTGTACATCGAAGCAACGGCTCGATACTTACAGTCTGAGACTGAACCGCTGTAAACACAGAGCAAGTGGATGGCGAGGAAAATGAGACATGTCAAGCATAGATGGGAGTGCGCCAGCAAGGGCAGGTACGCGGGAGCCCAACAGTGCAGACGACGGTGCCTCAACGTCACTTGTGAGCGATTCCACAGCAAGCTAGAAACATCGCTCCTCCCTCCTATCCAGCACCAGACTTCGATTGCTATCTGCTCGAACCCCTGCCTCTTTCACACGCTCCTGCTCGAGAAGCGTTCGATGGCATCGCGAGGCGGGTGACGCAGCAGCGTTACAACTCGCTGTTATGTACATCGAAGCAACAGCTCGAAAATCACCACACTTTGTCACCATAAGTGTGACCTTGCCTAAGCCAGCTTGGACATCTGTGCCCTCGACTGGGTGCCAGCGCTCTCTGGGCTCCACTCATCTTAAACAACTTTCCAAGGTTTGCCGTGGGCCACCTCAGTCCGGCACCCCTTGAACCCGTCGAGACCGAACTCCTGGAAGCCCTGCTTGAAAGCCCGTCGCACTGTGGCAAAGAGACGCGAAATATATGACCGTGCGGGGGGTGGCCTCGATCGTACCGCCGCCTCAGGAGGCCCCCCAGCAGGCGGCGGTCCGCTTCGCTGATCCCGATCCCCGCGTCCTTGAGGCCGGTCTTCGTGGTCATCTCCAGCTCCGGGTCGCCCATCACGAAGCTCCACTCGCCTGAGTAGAGCTGGTTGGTGCATGGCTGCGGCGGCACGATGCTGACCTTGACCAGGTTGGGCGCCTCCGAGGGCCTCCAGTACCCGTCGTGCTGCGCCACCACGTCGTAGTGCCCGTCGTGCTGCGCCACCACCACGTAGCTCCGTGTCTTCAGCCAAGCCCAAGCGCTTCTTAAGTGGCGTTCCAGAGCAGGGCCCCATCCAGCCAGGCACTTCTCGGCGAAGCTCCCGCGCATCAGCCAGTCCACGGTCTTCGCGCCCAGCAGGCGGCCCTCCCCCGGCGCCCGCTGCTCGAGCTGCGTGAGCTCCATCCTGTGCGCCTCGAGGGTCGGCTCGGTCACCGTCGCCAACCTCGGCAACTGCTTGGCTGGCGCAGCGCGCTGCGGCTTGGCGAGACTCCAGGCCCTCTCGCGGCGGCGGACATGCGTGCCCTGCTGCGGCCGCTTGCCCAGCCCGCAGTGCATTCGCATGGCCGAAAAGCGGCCCATGCTTGGCGATGTAGGCGGCGCCTTCCTAGGCCGCCTCACCGCCGTCTGCGCCGAGATCGCCGACTCCAGGCTCGTCTGCATTGACGTTCGAGCGAATCGGCTGGCGGCAACTATCTTGAAGCTCAGCTCTCCAGGTCTTTGCCCATCCAGGCTCTAGGGGCAAGCCGTGGGCGTTCGCATCAGCGCTGGGGACCGTCGGCTCTCCAACTTCTTGAGCCACAGCGTTGGCTGAGGGCGCGCGCAGATCATCAGGCTAACGACCGGCAAGTTTCCCTCGAAGAATCCAACGATATGTCCCGTCGCCCCCTTCAACCCTGATGCGACCCACCAGCGGTGCGTGTGTAGGCTGTTTATCGCACTTAAGGGCGATCTGATCGATGTACTGCGAGTTTGTCATGCTATACGTAGGCTTCTTGTGGTCTGCACCGTGCACGCATGTGTCGAACGAGACGAGGTGGACCTTCGGGAGCCCCAGGAGACCTGTTATCGGAGGAAGCTGCCAGAGCCTGCTTGATCGAGGATTCTCAAAGGTAAGAATCGCCCCACACCGTGCGCATTCACGAACCACGTCTACACTGAATAAGGCGAAAGAGGCCAACATCGTTGATTTTCACTGTTTTTTCTATGTTTTTTGCGTTCTGGCTTTTTCGGCTTCCGGGCGCTCCGAGACGGCCCAAGAGGCCCCCAAGACCGCTCCAAGACGGCCCACGAGGCTCCCAAGACGGCCCCGGAACGGCCCAGGAGGGCCCCCAAGACGGCCCAAGTGCCGCCCAAGACGGACCAAGAGGCCCCAAGACGGGCCCAAGAGGGGCTCAAGAGGGGAACCGAGAACTGAAAAATCGAGCCCTCCGCCTCAGAAGGCGCCCAGGAGGCCCCAAAAAGGCCCCAAGAGGCCCCCAAGAGGCCCCCAAGACGCCCCAAGAGGCGCCCAAGAGGCCCAAAGGAGGCCCCCAAGAGGCCCCAAAACGGCCCCCAAGAGGCCCCAAAACTCGGCTAGCCCACAACGGTGCGACAAGATGGGCCGGCGGAATGAGCGAAGCGATTAAGTAAGGCGAAACCAACTCCAAAGTGCTCCCGGGCCTCGGCCCTCGCCCAGATTTTGATTCCCCTGCGGGCAACTGGCCAGATGCTGCGCAGGGTCCCCGGGTGAACATGTCGAGCTTTCCCTTCTCTGCTCTTCTTCAGGGAGGATCTCTGCACAGTTTTGCTACTCAGGTCGAATTCCAGTCCACGCTGCAACTCGAAAGGCGGGCCCGTGCGAAGACCGCGATGCTGGCCATCCGAAGTGAACCCTGCAGCTCCAGCGAACAGCTCAAGGATCGCTGAGTCTGAACGGTGAGCCCAAGCCGGGGTGGTCCGAGACGGGGGCCGGTTGGCGTCGTCAACTGCCGCCTCCAGGCTCAAGCGCTCCCGCGGCAGCTTGATGGCCGAGGCGGGGCCCTTGGCCGTCTCGATCGGCGACGGAGATCTCGCAGGGGGTGCTGTCGGCGCTGGCTTACCCCGCGAGTCTCCCCATCAGCGGCGCAGTGCTCGCTGTCCGCGTGCCTGCACCTTTCCCGCAGGTCGGCCGCCGGCTGGTGGGCGCACAGTCGCCTGCGCGCGGCGTTCATGGCCCACGAGCGCCCTCGGCCTTTGTCAAAACAACAGCAGGTCACCATGTTATCCACCAGATGTAGCCCTCGACGCCCGCGAAGCCGACTGCTGCGGGACCGTCACGCACCATCCAGAGCGATACGCGCCTCCTTCACACTGATGTGCTCCTCGGGCCACGCCCAGAGGCCGCAGGTCGCCAGGTCGAGCGGCCCGCCCAGACTTTGGAGGCAGGCGGGATAGCAGCAGGCACCTCCACTTCAACGCCAGCTCGACGTCGAAGCCAGGAGTGCCGCGGCGCCTTGCCAGCGCATGCCGCCTGGCGCGCCCGGCGGGCGTAGGCGGTGTCCGCGCCTGCGCGAAGCCCTGCTGCCTGGCCCTGCGCCTCCGTGTCAGCGAAAACCTGCTCGTCGGGGTCGGCGGGGTCAGAGTCGCCCGCGTTCCCCCACGTCTGCTCCCGCGCGAAGCCTGTGGTGACGAACGGGCGCTCCGCCTCGGGCTCCGTCTCCATGAAACGCCATCTCTCGCGGTGTCGCATCTCCTCCTGGATGAGCTCCGCGTCGGCGCGGCGGTGCAGCAGCTCGTGCCCCTCCGCCGAGCTGTCGGAGACGCGCACCACCTCCGAGATCGGCATCGCCAGGTCGACGTAGGCAAAAAGATCAGGCTCTGGACAGCCCACATCTCGCGGCGCAGGACGTAGTCGACGCAGACCCGACGCCCTCGACGAACGTCCAGTCGGTGATGGACCTCCTGCAGGATGGCCATCAGCGGTCGCCTCAGCCTCATCATATTGATCGCGTGCCCGATCCAAACCTCCAGGTCGCCGTTCCTCACGTGCGTGCGGCGCCTCGACGCCTGCGTGGCGGCCCAAAAACGCCAAAGCCTGTCCGGCGTGTGCCTCAGCTCCAGCTTCTCCATGTCGAGGACCAAGCCCAGCGACCCCACGAGCTTCCCAACTTCAGGCGGATGCAGCGAGAGGCCCTTCTCCTTGGCGACTCGCTCCACCTTCTCAAGAACGCTAGCAGCGCCATGAGGGTGTGCCGCCACCGCGGTGACGTTATCCACGTAAGCGTCGCCCATGCCCCTCAGACTCCAAGTAGCCGGAATGGGCGCGCGGTCCTTCACCACCGCGAGCCCCGCGTCCGAGAGGCAGCTCTCGGTGCCTTCATTGCAGAGGTAGAGGGCCCACGTCCAGCCCATGCACATCGCCTCGAACACCACCTCCAGCTCCTCCGCCGGGTCCACCGCGTCGAACCTCCTCAGGTCGTCGTCCCAGGCCCTCGTAACTCGCCAGTCCTTCGCCCTCGCCTTATGTCCGAGCCCGAACCATCTAGCCACCTCCTTCACGGAATACTGGAAGAACGCGTCCTTCACGTCGATCGTGCCCGCCTCCAAGTCTATCTTGCCGATCTCCGTCTCGCCTGCGCTCGTGCCCGTCAAGTCGAGCTCCGCTATGGCGTCGACGCCACCCAACTTAACTTTGGGCGGCCTTCGATGCAGTGCATTCGTGACCCTCGAGTCGCAGATCAACCTGATGTTGCCGTCCTTCTTGTGATCAAAGAATAGGCCAACGCGAGCCTTTACCTTCCTGCTCGCCGAGCAAAGCCGAGCACGATGCAGAGCCTCCAGCAGATGACCATGCACGTGCCCGATCGTCCCGTCGCAGAACAGGATCCCAATACGGTGTGCTCAGCTCGCCCTCCGCCCGCAGGCTCTCGATATCTTCCGAGCTCCGCTCGATGTGTCTCTCTCACTGTGTTTCAAAAACCCGGCCGCCGCTGGCGGCAACGCCTCCACCGCGTCTTTCGGCATGACGTCGCCCTTCAGGACTCGCAGCTTCTCGATGGCGTAGCTCGCCAAGTGTTGCGGTAACTCTCCATGGAGTGACCTGGTCTTGAGGAACTGCCGAAGCGCCCCCTCGTTTTCCAGGTCCTCCGGCCTGTCTCCGTACATCGCGGTTGCCTTCGAGATGGTCTCCAGGCAGCCCCGCTGCGCGCGGCCAGCAGGGCCGGCGTGGGCAGGTGCCCTCTTCAGATCGCCAGTGCGGGCGGCGGCGGGCTAGACCGGCGCGCGAGTCGCCTCCATGGCTCGCCCCTGCCGCTCAGCGCCTTCCCGAGGGGGGCGTCCAGGAAACAACTGCGGGCTCAGGAAGCGGAAAAAGATCTCTACGCATGTCTCCCCCAGGTATTCTACGACGAGCAGCCGATGCCATCGCCGCGCAGCCCTGCAAGTAATGCGGCGGCCGTCTACGCTCAGAAACACCGGGCTACAGTCCCAAGCTCTGAACACCACGAACTACCTCAGTAAGGACAATGAAAACCCACCCCACCCTGGGGGCCACTGTTCTCCGTGTCCGTCATCTCCTCGCGATTGAGCCCTTCCTGCTTGAGAATGTCGGCTCGCTCCTTCTGCCGCTCCGAGACGTGCTCGCCGAAACGTGCCATCCGCGCCGGCCCATTCGCAGTGGTGGCCCCACCCTCGACCGTGTCCAGGCCGCTGTGGTCCGGGGGCCGCGCGTTGCGCTCCACCGCCAACTTCAAGCCCAACAAGCGCCGGTCCGCCGGCTCCCTGCCCGCGAGATCGGTGACAT